CTGATCCCTGGGCCGGGAATCAGATGTGTTGACCGATTCTCATGCCACGCCGTATCAGCGTGCGCAAATCGATAGTCAATATGGTGACCGCCGCACTCTTATCGCGTGGTATGCACTTCTAACGCTAGATAGGCGATAGTCAAAGAGCGGGGGAAGACCGCCTTTGTAAGAACGTCCGTCCCCAGAACACTATCTTTAGTACTTATTTACTTAGCAACGCCAAATAGGAGGCCAACTTACAGATATGCACGCGCATTCTGTTTTTCGGTACGCGTTCTCGATCGCAGGATCGACGGCTCTAGATTAACCGCCTCCAGTGGTCACGCGACAGGCGGCATTATCACACGCGTAGCAAGTCCAGATGGACCAGATAGCAAGCTCGTTAGTTTTATGCGCGAAGCAGAAGGGGAATAGCGAAAGAAGAAGAAGGCGCCGGGTTAAGCATACTCTCATTTGCCTCCCCTCTCCCTCTTCCCTCCAAATGTGCCAGTAACAAATCACACTGAACCCCGCAGGCCGGTTGCTTACCGATAAGTAGCGTTATTCCATTCGTGGAGGGTCTGAAATTTAGGCTGGTTGAAGACAGGGCAGGTCCTTCGGGGAGAGGAGGAGGTAGAAGTGTATTTGATCGGAGACCTACCCACTCATGGCAATCAAGGCCAAATAATTTGCAATGTGCGCATAAAGCGGGGAGCAAGGGTAGCCCTTGAGTTCGGTTTTAAAGGGAATAGGACCAGCGTCATTTTTGACCAATCTTTCCCGATCATCCGCGTCCAAAAACCGGAGACAATCTGGGTCGTGTACCAGCTAAAACAGGGGCGGTGAGGGGGGGGAGGAATGGGAATAAAACATGAACACGAGGATAAGTAATTTGAGGTAATAATAAAGGTTATTCCTGCAATGCATTACATTTTCGGTCGCTATGACAACAACAAGAACATGCCGAACTGACAGACCGGGGGGCGAAAGGCGTACAATGATTCATTAAATACCAAGGGAATACAATGGAAAATAAACATTAAGAGTAATTGCACAAATGGAAAATGCCAGACTTCTCCCGCCACATTTTTTAAGCAAGGACTCGGCAGTGGTAGACCACTAGAAGACTAGGGGTTACACTGCTCCGCTAATGCAATTTTACCCTGTATACGACATTTCGGCAGTCGAATCCGACTAAAAGTCTACCTCGCGCTTCAACATACTGATGGAAAGCGCGGTGACTCGTGCGTCAGTACTTACTTCTACTTGTTAAGGCTATGATCATGTCTGATCTAGCCGGCCTAAATGATGTCACGGACGGTACCTCTCCATGCGTGAAGATCGGCGGCAGCGTATCTGGAAAGCTCCACCCAGTCTCTTCTCTAGCGACGGAGACCGAAGATAGGTCCAAGAACTGCTTCAATGTCTTGACGGACTGTGTCGAGCCAAGTCTTCAGTTACCCTCCTGTTCGACGTTTACAGGTGGGCTGCGGCACCGGATCGAGGGTAGCATAGCAAGTCTCGTGGGGCGGACGATGGAGAACGTGTCCAAATCACCTCAGTTGCCTTTCTTGAATGGCCTGAGATATCCTCGTGATACGATCGCAGCGGGTGCGACTGTCTCATTTGAGATGAAGTCGCTATACTTAACTGCAGGACCGTCTCGGGCACTATTGGTCAAAGACCTCCACTCTTCGCTCATCGTCAGCGCGCACAGCCCAGCATTCACATCCATAGAGAGGGACTGACAGGATGGATGCACGGTATACACGAATTTTCGTGGTGATGGAGATGTCACGTCGGATCCATAAGCACTTTTGAAGGATTGAGAAAAGCCAGCGTGCAGCATCGATACGGGAGACAATGTCGTCCTTGCTCTGTCTATCCAGTAGCAGCCTCGCCCCGAGGTATTTAAAGCTGTCTACTTCTTCAAGTTGATGTCATTAATCCACAGGGGTGCCTTCTCCTGGTCAGGCTGCTAGCCAGACCACTCTGGTCTCGCTCAGACATCAGCCTACGTACTAAGCTACTGATATACAAAGCATCAATCAGACCGGTGTTAGTATATGCCTGCGAGACATGGCCAGTGAGAAAGGCAGACATCCTATCGCTCGAAGACTTTGACCGTTGGTGTCTACGACGCCTCTTAAGAATCTTCTGGCGGGATCGAATCTCCAATGTTGAGCTATACCGCAGATGTTTCAAACTACCAAGTCTAGCATCATACATCCAGCATCGACGATTGCAATGGTTTGACCATGTTCTGCGCAAACCATCGGCGAACCTCTGCAGATTGGTCGTGAACTCCTTCTGTAGTGCAAACTTGAGATACCAACAAGGCGGTCAACTGAAGCACCGTCAAGTTGGACGCTGAACGGATAGGCATCGCAACCGTTTACGGCTTGCGACATTGGAACAAATAATGGGTTAACATCCGTGAAGAGCTCGCTTCCGACCGCCGCCATTGGGCCGCCGCTACCCATGACATCCGTGAAGCCGATTCATCCAACATCAGGAGCTAATCGGATCAAGTACAAGTACATAACGCCCAAGTCACAAGTACTCCTAACAGCGGCCAGTGTCATGTTGTCCATTGCACAGGGTGGGTGGTCCCGGTTTCTCCTAATTATCAGCAAGTGTGATTTGTTCAC